TTTTTTTTTTTTTGGAGACAGAACCTCACTATGTTGCCTTTAGTAAAGTGCTGTGGAATCACAGCTCACAGCAACCTCAAACGCTTGGGCTTAATCGATTCTCATGCCTCAGCCTCCCAAGTAGCTGGGACTACAAGTGCCTGCCACAACACTCAGCTATTTTTTTGTTGTAGTTGTCATTGTTCTCTGGCAGACCTGGGCAAGGTTTGAACCCACCCGTCCCGGTATATGTGGCCAGTGCCCTAGCCACTGAGCTACAGGCACTGAGATGACATGTTTAACTTTAATGCTTATGAGCACAGATTCTTTCTCAAGGTGATCCCCACCAGAAGTCTCATCTTCATGAAAGGTGACAAAAGAGAGAAAAACTTTCCAAAGATGTTGCCATTAGAATATTTCATAGTTCTGCTCTGTGCTAGTTCAATCGGAGAGAAACTCTTTAGAAACATGCACATTCAAGAACCTGAAGCCCTGACTCAGCACCTGTAGCTCAAGCGGCTAGGGTGTCAGCCACATACACCAAAGCTGGTCTAGTGGGTTTGAATCCAGCCCAGGCCCACCAAGCAACAATGACACCTATAACCAAAAAATAGCCAGGCCCTGAGGCAGGCACCTGTAGTCCCAGCTACTTAGGAGGCTGAGGCAAGAGGATAGCTTAAGCCCAAGAATTTGAGGTTGCTATGAGCTGTGATGCTACAGCACTCTACCCAGGGCAACAGCTTGAGACTCTCTCTCTCAAAAAAAAAAAAAAAAAAAAAAGAACCTGGGCTCGGCGCCTGTGGCTCAAGCGGCTAAGGCGCCAGTCACATACACCTGAGCTGGTGGGTTCGAATCCAGCCTGGGCCTGCCAAACAACAATAAAGGCTACAACCAAAAAATAGCTGGGCATTGTGGCGGGTGCCTGTAGTCCCAGCTACTTGGGAGACGGAGGCAGGAGAATTGCTTGAGCCCAGGAGTTGGATGTTGCTGTGGGCTGTGATGCCACGACACCCTACCCAGGGCGACAGCTTGAGGCTCTGTTTCAAAAAACAAACAAACAAACCCTAAAGTCCAAAGAACTACCCATCACTTGGAGATCAAACAAAATGCACATGGCTGACTGGTGCTCTATTTGAGGAGTAGGTAAGGTTATTAACTGAGAAATAAAGAAGAAATCGTCTAGCCTAACAACAACAGACAACTGTGGCTCGGCACCTGTGGCTCAAGTGGCTAAGGCACCAGCCACATACACCTAAGGTGGCAGATTTGAATCCGGCCCGGGCCCGCCAAACAACGACGGCTGCAACCAAAAAATAGCTGGGCATCGTGGTGGGCGCCTGTGGTCCCAGCTACTTGGGAAGCTGAGGCAGGAGACTCACTTGAGCCCAGGAGTTGGAGGTTGCTGTGAGCTGTGATGCCACGGCACTCTACCCAGGGGGACAGCTTGAGGCTCCTGTCTCAAAAAAAAAAAAAAAAAAAAAAACAATAGACAACTGTACTGGCCACCGCCCTACCCAAGTGAATCATCTCACAAATATGACAATGAAATTTCTAACTTCAAACATTACCTCAAAAATCCAACCTCTTGACCAAGGCATCATCAAAACATTTAAAATGCACTACCAAGCCCAGCACCTGCAGTGGGTCATTACTCACACACAAACTTATGGTCCACCTGTGGGAAGCAACTTCATCCGCTGAATCAGTTAGCACTCTGGATGCTGTCCTCTGTGGAATAAAGTTCAGCCAGAAACTATACAGAAGTGTTTCAAGAAAGTTAAATTTGTCACAACCCAAGAGTATGGTGTTTTGGTCCTATCAGACAATCCATCTCCCACGGCAGAATTGAAAGGAATAGATTTTAAAGGTTGTAAGATGACAAGGTGGCAACTTATAATGAACCTGAACCAGGAGCAATTTTCCAAGTGATATTGAGCCAACTATAGAACATCATAAAAGTGCATGAAGCAGCTGATGAAGTGGATGACACAGAAATGGCAGACACCAAAAGGAAAACGATGTCAGGAATCTGACAATGCAGTTGAAGTCATTTGCTGTGGAAAAATGCCCAGGTATGCTGAGTGGTGTAGCAGCATTTCAAGAGCTTTCTCCACTTACATTAGTAGTAATAAGAAACAAACCAAGATTGACTCTCTTTTTAGAAAGAATGATTAAAACCATGAAAAAACAGCTAAATATACTGATTTTGTATGATACTATGTGTATGATTTTACTGTTTTGATTACACATTTCATATAATATTCCCTAATAAAAACTGTACAAGAAAGTAAAGTACATGTATTTATCAGTACGTTAGGCCCAGTTCCTTATGTCAACCACCTCCAGATGTTGACCAGTTTGTTATAGTCCCTTCAGTGGCCAACTTGCAGAGGTATATATTACATGGCAAGACTTGGTTAGTGAAGGTCCAGGGAACCTGAGAGCATCCCCTAGAAAATGTGCTTCCCTTTTTTCTAAGCTTCATAATGATTTTATTCCAAGGAAAGACATGAAATACAAATAGACTTACGCACAAATACTTTCACTGAAGCATTAATCATACATAGTGACAAGAATGTGATACAGCCCACATGTGCAAATATTAAGTAAATTATGGCAGTTACACATAGATTGATAGTCGCTAGAAAAGTTCTTGATTCAATGATACAGAAAAATGCTTATGGTGTATAACAATAAGGAAAAAAGGCAGACTGCATGAATGAATGGGCACAAAGAATTTTTTTACTTTTTCTGCAATTTCCCAAAAGGGGATAAATTGCTAAGGCAAAAAAACTCCGAAAAAGACACTTATCCTTATGGCAGCAGCCTTTGATAAAGAGAGACACTAATTCAGAATCCAGAAATTTGAATTTCTGTCCTGATGCTTAAAAGCAACTAGCTACTTAGTTGAGCCTAAGCTTTCCCCCCTACTGAAAACTTTGGTGATAGCTTTAAGAAGCAGTGGTTAGGGAAAAAACAACATGTCAATAGAAAAAAAAAAAAAAGCCAGGTGAGCCAGCCCCAGACTGTACTCTAGTTACTCGAGAGGCTAAGGCAAGAAAGCCACTAGGACCCAGGAGTTTGAGGTTATAATGAGCTATGATTATGTCACTGCACTCCAGTCTGGGTGACAGATAGTCTCCAAAAAATAATAAAATAAAATTTTAAAAACCCAGAAGAAATAGTATTATCTTTCCAAGCCTCAGTTTAATCAATTTAGGAACTGAGAGATTAAAACAAAACAGATATTAATTAAACGTACTGTTACTGCATATTTTAAATTTATTTGTACAGTATGACATTTTATGCCACTTCAGGAGAATTAAACTTTCCTAAATCTAAAGTAAGTTTACAGAACCTTTAAAATACTTTCACATGAGCAATCGAGAAGAAAACCGTGAACCGTTGAGTCTAATCATGACTCTGCAGGGCCAGAAAGAACCTGCCAGATGGAAGTTTTGTAACCAGCTAGGAGGTGGGCAACAAGCTTATTGGATGAACTTGTTTCAAATCGAGTACCCGGTAACTTATTTACCTCTTACTAAGATTCACGGAGTTAGTATTTTGGTATTTGAAAGTGATTACATGTATGTCCAATAAACATACTCTTTTTTTATGTTCCTAACCTTTACGTCAATATCCCAAACCTCTGAAATCACAGCTTGCAAGAGTCAAGATATAAAAAGTATGGTGTGTTCTGGAAACTACAGTAGAACAAGACAATGTGAGTACATGCTCATTCAATCTAGGAAGAGAAGCCTGCAAAATGTAGTGCTGTGGGAAAGATGATTATCCATTCAGAAGAAGATGGGATCAGCTCATCAATTCCCAATAACTGGTGGCGAATCGCAAAGAACATTCATCTGATGAATCTGCAGTTTTGCTCTGCACAGCTTACAGTTTGAAAATACCCGGTGGGGATGAGCATCAAGGTGACAAGACATCCTTGAAAACGGCAGGCTATGCACCACCTGACTGGAGAACAATCTGAGCACGAGGCACCAGAGGGCTGCAGAAAGAGCACTGCGTCCTCCCCACCAGCTCAGCGCTCTCCGCAGCCGCAGGGGCGGCGTGGGGTGCCTTGCCGGAGAAAGGACGAGGGCACGGCGCCCCGAATAAAAACAGCTCTTTGGGTTGAAGGGGGAGACAAACCACCACTCTCCTCACCTCCACGCTCTGTTCATCCATTGCCTCCGGCTCTCGGCGGGGCCCTCGGCGCCCCGCGGTCTCTGTCTTCTGACCTCTTAGGCGACAGCCCGAGGTCTCCCAGTCAAATCGCTGAGAATAGCCAGGCACACACCTCAGGGGGCTCCGACAACCGCCCCACCTGCGCGCCCCATCACTTCGGGCTCCAAGGCGACTACCCCCATTTCGCCATTTTTGCTGGAGCGCAGAGGGACAGCGAGCGGTGTCCGCAGCTTCTTCCCGGCTTAGCCGCCCGCCAGCGACCGCGAGGGCGCCTCGGCCCACGTGACGCGGGCGCGCGAGCTAGGCGACGCTGGTCTCCAGCGAAGGCACTACTGAGAATTCGCAAACACTAACGGTAACCAGGGCAGCTGGAGGAGCGGCGAAGACCGGGAAGGCGCGGCGCGCATGCGTGCAGGGCGCCAATGGAGGGGAGGCGGGCACCTAGTTCCCGCGGTGAGGGGGCGGACACGAGACTTGGGAGCTCGCTTTCCCAAAGAAGCGCGCCTCCGGCCTCGGCCAGCGCCCGCCACCGGAGAGTGACGCGCCCCTGCGCCCCGCCCCCTAACCGAGGGGGCGGCACCTCGCGGATCTAAAACTTGGCGCAAATGCTCGGAACCACCTGGCCTGCTACTGAGGTGGGCTGACTTCAGAGCCACACCCCCTGCTATTCAGACGCCTACATTCTAGGGTGGGGCCCAAGAAATCCCTGCTTTCAGCAGCCACTCTGGTGACTCGGCTGCAGGTGGGCTGCGGATCACACTTTGAAAAATCTGGCGCCAGAGGATTAGTAGTTATTAGTTCTCTTTCTCTGAAAGATAATAAGGTTTTTAAAAAAAGACTTCCGTTCTACCTACTAGCGCAAATGAAGTTAGAAAGTTCCAGATTGTGAAGCCGGGAGAGAACATTTCTCAGTAAGAAGGAATCACAGACTGTGCAGAAGTCAGACCTACATCCCCTTCTTTGCACTTCTTGCCACTTTACTTGAGCAGTCAGACATAACCGTAAGAGCAAAAGGGTATCCGCTATATTCAGCTTTCCTATAATTGGGATGTGCTTTCTACAATGTCCTTCCAGAAGAGATAATGTAAAGAATGCAAGAATTGAAGGTGTTAGAGCAAGGGTATATATCTACTTTTTTTTTTTTTAAGACTAGTCAAGTGCAGTAGTGAGAAAGCGGGAAAAGAGTACGAGGAATTCAATCAGTAACTGACTAGTGAACACTCAAGTTGAGATAGCTCACTACCATCAGACCAGCCCAAATTTTTTATTTAAATTTAATTTTTCCTTTCTTTTTTTTTGAGACAGAGCCTCAAGCTGTTGCCCTGGGTAGAGTGCTGTGTTATCATAGCTAACAGCAACCTCCAACTCCTGGGCTCAAGTGAGTCTCCTGCCTCCACCTCCCAAGTAGCTGGGACTACAGGCACCCGCCACA